CACACGCACACGCACACGCACACGCACACACACACAATACTCTCTCTCCCTATCTTTACTCCCTCCCCCCCCTCTCTCTCTCTCTCTCTCTCTCTTTCTCTCTCTCTCTCCCTCTCTCTCTACCTCCCTCTCTCGATGTATAGAGCGATGACGTGAGTCCCTTCGACTCTACTCACCTCTTGCTGATGGATGTTGTCCCTCAGACCTTCGGCGATCTCTTCGGCTACGCGTGCTCTGTGTGTCACAGACATTGTCTAGCTCCTTCTTCTCCTTCTTTCCTATCTTTACCTGCGCAGGTATGGCGGGGGCGCAGCAGCCGGAATAGTCAGCAGGTGACGCGCGCATGCGATAAATGCGTCGTTGTGTGTGCGTGTGTGTGTGCGTGTCTGTGGGCACGTCTGCGCGCTGCGCTGCTCCCTGCATCGAACGCGGTGTACGTCGTGACTGTGTTGTGTGTTGTTTGAGTGTGAGCGTGTGTGTGTGTACCAACGGCGTGGCTGCTAATGCTACTGCTTCTGCTTCTGCTGCTACTGCGGATCGTGGCGGTGGTGTTGGTGTTGCTTCTGCTACTGCCGCCGCCGCTGATGCCGCCGCTGCTGCTACTGCTGCACGCTGCTGCTGCCGTCAATGATGATGATGGGGAGGTAGGAGTGTTCAACGTTCAGCAGCCACCATCATCAACAGCAGCAGCAGCATCATCATCATCATCAGCAGCAGCAGCAGCAGTAGCAGCAGCAATAGCAGCAGCAGCAGCAGTAGCAGCAGCAGTAGCAGTAGCAGCAGCGGCAGCAGCAGCAGCAGCAGCAGCATCGGCAGCAGCAGAGAAGCGTGATCGTTGGCGCGGCTAAAAACAGCCGGCGTGCGGGTAGATGTACCAGCGAGTCTCATTTATCCCTAGCCCCTAGCTAACTAACTAGTTGCTGCTTACATACCGCTCCCAGCCGGAGAGCTATGGTGACAACAAAACTAGAACGTGGGGGATATATAGCGATTCATGCGTGTATCAGGGTCAGATTGTTTTACGCACTCCTGATGATATGTGTATATGTTTATATTTACATACATATGTTATTATAGCGTACAGAGAGCTAGACCGGATGGTCGAACAGTTAGTTATTTGGAAT